CCACCCCCACCCCCCCCCTCCAGTGGCACAGCGGTATGTCTTCGGACTTACAACGCTAAAAACCGGGTTTTGATACCCGTGGTGGGCCGAGCACAGATAGCCCATTGGGTTGCTGTGTGCTTAATTACAAATAACATACTGACACATTTTTTTTCAAATCAAAACAATATATAAGACACTGCATTTTTTAGTTCCATCCTTGTGACTCAGCAGTAAGCGTGAGGGCTTTTAACACACACAACAAAAACAAATATAAGCATTTTGTAATACCAATAACGAAAAAATGTTAAAAATTAAAGATCAGGAATCTCCAAAGATGTGGGGTAGGCCAAAGTTGAATTATACTTTTTAGTTATTGGACTAATGCTTTGGTCAAGTAAGCTACTCTCATATTCAAACTTGATTACATTCGCTTGTTAAAAACTGACAGGGAGTTTAAACTGTGTTAGTCGGTTTTTAAGGCTCAGAACCCATTTATTGCTTTTTTTTTACTGTAAGTGTCAATTTTAGTTATTTGAACTATAGAACGTGTACAATTAAAAAGGAAATTAAAAGGCTTTAAGATAATAAATAATAAATCTGTTGTGGAAGTTTCCCAGCTTACACCTTTACAGCTTTCCTTCTAAACTCACATACAACATCTTTACTCCATGTGCCAAATAGTACGTCATTTTCTGAATTAGAATCCACATCTTTACTCTGTACACAAAACTGTGGGTCCTCTTCTGAGCTCCCATAAATATCCTTACTTTGTATGCCAAATTATGAATGCGTCCTCTTCCGAACTTACAATCAATACTCTATATGCCAAATTTTGCCTCCTTTTCTGAGCTCACGAACGTCTTTACTTCATATGGCAAAAGTACATGTGGTAAAAAAAATCACCTTTGGTCTTGGATGCAAGAAATTTACACAAGCTACTGTCGTTTTTGCAAAAGGCACACTAAACAAAACATCAAAAGTCAAAGTTATATAAATAGACGATTTTTTGTTTCAAAATAACCCTAATGGTATTTGTTTGTATTTTGTAAACCTTAAAGCTACACATTGGGCTATCTGTACCATACCCACCGTTAGCATTGGAATCCAATTTTTAGTATTATAAGCCCCCCGACTTACCATTGAGCCACCAGGGTGTCCTGGAGGGAGGATAACTATGCAGAACTGGATGATGTGTTATCTTCATCCATAATTACAAACTGATACAAAAACTTGACTTAATCCTGTAGACTCCCAGTGGAGCATAGGGCCGCAACAACACTTCG